GAAAAAGGAGAGAAGGGGGATCTCATAATCCCTTCCCTTAGGATTTCAGGAAGAATCTATCACCAAAGCAAGAAAAGTCCTCCAAGTAAACATCCTGTCTTCTTTACGGGGACTTATCCAAAGTAGAAACAACAGGAATTCATTGACTGGATCAGCCCACTTTGACCAGTTACTGAAGGAGCCGGGGTAAACCATACGAGGTCCCAGAAGAGAACCCAACAGCAAAAAAAGGAGGATCACTGCTTTCAGTAGTGATGTGGCTACAGACCCCAAGAATCCAGCCCTTCCAAACTCACTTAGAGGACATCCAATCCAACTGATCATCTCTGAATATTCCTACCAAAACAAGTGTGGTACATTGAGCAGAGCCAGAAGAGTTCATTCATCTATGGGAAAATATAAAACATGTTGCAATATAAAGAGACAATATTGTTTTATCTATAAAGGAATAAAGACAGAAAACTGGGTTTCTTTTTTCCATAATTTATATGATTTTCAATTAAAAGGAAATTTCTAACTAGTGACACATTGTCTCCTTTCTAAATGTCAGTATGTCCAAAGCCAAATGACATATTGCAACTTTTCCCAAATATCTGTGTATCCTAAGCACACTATGTCAAGAAGACTGATCCAAAGACTTGATTTATGTTACTGCCTGACAGATGATGTCTGCAAGGCATGCTGTCTAAATGGACTGTGCTCCGGCAGTTACCTTAGTCATCAATTCTCAGGGAATTAATGAGTACCATTCATCCCAATAATAGAAACCAAGGTCAGGGCCTCTTCCTTGCTCTGTAATTCCATTAGCATGGCACTGAAAGCATTTAGGTCATAGGCTCTGTAGACTTTATCACTGAGCAAATGGAACTGCATCTTGTTTTCAGAGAGAATCCTCTCTGAGCACACCCCTTGTCAGACATTTGTTGTACATCAACATTCAGTGCACTTACATATGTAGGGAAAACTCTAGTAAAGGGAAAGTGAGGCTGCCGTTAGCTGCCAAGAGTTTCAAGTACTGTTTTTATTAAAGTAAATGCCAATAGAAAACATTTGTAATAAAACCACATCAGGTACTTTCAATTACTGAACATACATTTTTAAACTGTGTGCTCACATTTTATGCAAGTCACTCAGTCATTTTATGTGGCTACCATTGAATTTATTTCAGTTTTCATTCTTTTATTTTGATTTCTATTCTTTTATCTTAGTTTTTATTCTAACCACCCTAATAAAGTTAAAATGGCTTTGAAACTAAGTTATTACTATGAGCAAGTAAGTATGTTTACAGTGAAACTTTCATCTTGAAGTCGCAACCAGCAAGCTTTTCTAAACTAAGTCTCACCAGTCATTCCCTTGATCTTCATAATTCAAATTGCTTTCAACCTCCAACATATCAAAAAAGAAAGGAGTAACCCCAAGGTTTGAAGCCATAGGCAAGGATTTGAACTGTGGCTTTGACACTTGTTTTCTTAATAGTGAAATTAACATGATTATTATACTTTTACAGCTACTTCACACTATTGCTATAAGGATTTAAAATAAGCAAGTTCCACAGTGCCTGGAAATTAACAAGTAATAGCTTATCATTGTTGAGCATACAAATTTTGTGTGTGTGTGTGTGTGTGTGTGTGTGTGTGTGTGTAAATCTATGTTTTAAAACATTTGGGGTTTTATGCCCAATAAATTTTAAATGCTCTACAGTAATAGAGGAGAGCAGAGGCATAAATAAGTCAAAACAGAAAATCATCCAAATACCATTTGTGTTTTGAAGTATGTTTTTAAATTTCATTTCAAATGTCAGTATTTCTAAAACCCAAAGAAATTACTTCCCACAAAAGAATGACACCATGATGTGATGTCCTAACTAAACAGGATCTGAAGAGCTGTTCAATTTCCTCTCCTCTTCTCTCTCTTCTCTCTCCTCCTCTCACTTTGCCTGTCAAAAGACAGTTGCAACAAAGAACCTGCTTCAGGCAAAGTTCCTGACTTCCACTCACCCGTGAATCAGGACCACTTATGAAGTGTTTAGTTCCTGGCTTAGAGGCAGGCTGTACTCATCAAATAAAAGCACCAGATACTCGCAAAGCAAGTAATAGATTAGAGATCTGAGCCAGAAAAGTCAAGAGATGCAGGGTGGTGGCTACACTAACAGCAAAGGCTATGAAATCTGATAGACTAGGGTTCTAAGCCCTGTTTGGCATATGTGACCTTGGACAAACTAATAACTGCTATATGCTTCAGTTTCCTCTACTGTAAACTTGTAATGATATCAAATATTTCATATGATTTGTTAAGGATATTTTTTAATGGATATATACATATATATACACACACATATATATCACTTAGCACAGTGCTTGGCTCAGGTAGGTACTCATAAGAGGTAGAAAGAAAAATGTTTAATAGCGTTCAATAAATATGAAAGTGTGTGTGTTTATATGTGTAGGACTCAGTGTGGATGATTAAGAGATTTAAATCATGCTGATTTCCTTTTGAATAATAAACTCTTACAAGTTGATGTTTTCCTACAGAGACCTGCAACATCGACATTTTTGTAAATCAGAGAACATAGACCCTTGACCTCATCCAGTGTCTATCTAATCCACCCAACACATCTCTTTCATAACTGAAGCTATTTTCCTGTGTTGAAACTTAGGGGATATTGCTCTGTATAATCCTGTAGTAAGCTAAGTGTTCCTTCAATTCTAGCAGTATTACAGGTTTACCCCATGTGGAAAGAAACCAAGTTGGTACCTACACACAAGCACACACACACCCCTTAATAGTGATATGAGAAATATTTAAAAGATGATAGTAATAAAAAGAATGACAGTTAATACTTATAGATCAGTTCTCACATGTCAGGCATTGTTCTACTCACTTTACATATGATAACTCATTTAATTCTCAGATGCAGTCTGTGAAGTCAGTAGTACTAGTATACCAATTTTACTGTTGAAAAATAAACTCGGAGAAGTTAGGTAATTTTGCAGAGGTCACAGGACAGATAACAATATATACATTATGGCTAGGGAGGCTAAATCATTGATGAACCATACATTCCAAGACACTGTTGAACATGAAAGGGAACAAAAACAGAAACTAAAGTTCACCCTAATTATAGTTGAAAACCAAATACCTTGCAATGCTTACATCTTTTTTTAAATCAGTAAATTAATGAGTTCTTATTATATTTCTACTTGAAAAATATATTGATTGTCCTAAGATTCCTAGATGATCTACATAAGGTGTTCTTAGTTAAAGCCATTAGTGCTTATGGTAAATAAAAATGTGTTTGAGTTTCCAACATGATGAGTTTCACTTCAGGGACACAGGCTCAGCCAATATTTTCATATGCTATCTATAACCTTTCACAATAGAAGAATGAACAAGGTACTGGCTCATTAACTCACTAACTGTCCTTCCTTGCCATGGTTATTAACTAATGTTCTGCCTTTCGCTGTAAAGCATGTGCAAGATTGAGAGTTCAAGGAATAGACATCCCTGAAACATACTGGATGGTGGGTTGCATTTTTGCATATTTCTGCATATCAAAGCAGTACCTGATTCCATAGAGAGAGCAACAACACAGAGTTATTGACAGGTTTCTGAGCTGGGGCTCACAGTCTTGAAGGGAGAAAGGAAAGGGAATAGGTTTCTAGTTTGGTAAGCTCCTTAAGGGAGTTTAAGCGTGTATACTATTGATGTCCACCCCAGAAATAGTTATCTTGGTAGGTACTTAAACATTTACACTGCCAGGAAAATCTGTATTCCCATGTGTGTGGCTCTCCTCACACATATAAGTAAATAGTAAAAAGAAAATAAGCCAGGCGCGGTGGCTCACACCTGTAATCCCAGCACTTTGGAGGCCAAAGCGGAGGCAAGATACGGAGGTCAGGAGATCGAGGACCATCCTGGCTAAACATGGTGAAACCCCGTCTCTACTAAAAATACAAAAAAAAAATTAGCTTGCATGGTGGCAGGTGCCTGTAGTCCCGATCCTCAGGAGCTGAGGCAGGAGAATGGCGTGAACCCGCGGAAGGCGGAGCTTGCACGTGGGCCGAAGATCGCGCCACTGCCCTCCAGCCTAGGTGACAGAGCAAGACTCCGTCTCAGAAAACAAAAATAAAAAAAAGAAAAGAAGATTGTACATTGTTTTTAAAAACTATAACATTTTACAATCCTAAACATGTTTATATTTTATATTTTGACAGTTGAAAAGCATCTTATAGTCAATGGAGCATTCATTATTTAGTTAGCAGTGGTTTCTTTTATTTTTTTTTTCTGTAGTATACAAAAATAAAGGTATGCTTACCATCCATGGCATTGTAGATTTGAATAAATCATTATATTACAGACATTAGCAAAATATCAGCACCATGTAAGTAAATCAGAAAGAAGAGATAAGATGTGACAACACATCAACCTTTAAGCTTAGTACATGAGTAGGAAGAAATGATATTCTTTACCAAGTGGCTACTACCCATATACACATATTTCTTTTCCTTCCGTGTTTTCCCCTCAATAAAATAATAAAAGGGAAGAACTTGAATTTCTGGCATTTATTGTAGCTTTCTTAATGTGTGATTATTGCTCTTAGAATATGAGTCATGGGGCACAAGTTCTATGTGATCCTCAAACACTCATATAATTGGAATCTCCCTAGGAGCTTCTTAGAAAGCTCACGGTCTCCTCCTTGACTACTTATCAGATGGTCCCCAGTAACCAAATGCTGTCTTTTAACTTAGGTTAATTATGATCACCAAAGTTTGAGAACCCTGGTCTGTGTTTGGAATTGGCCTATCACTGCAAAGGACTTGAATTTAGAAACTCTGGTTCCAGTAGTATGCACAGGACCCCATTTGATAGAAATCAGTGTGATTTCACAAAGGCAAATATACTAAAAAGAAGAATCTGACATTTCATTGTTTCCTTTGGGGCTGGGACTGAAAGACATGTATTGTGATGTCGCCTGATACCTATTTCTGTTGGGGTTTTAGCTGTGCCCCATAAAATCGGACGCATCATTGATGGAGTCCTGCAGATCGCTGTGCAAAAACTAAAAGTGGAGACCGGATCCTAGCAGTGAATGGCCAGTCTATCATCAAATGCCTCACGCTGACATCGTGAAGCTCATCAAGGATGCAGGTCTTAGGTGTCCCCTTCGGATCATTCCTCCAGGAGGGTGAGTGCCTGAGGCAGCCTTGCAGAGAGGCGGTCAACACACGGACACACTCACCGGCTGTTCCAGCCTGCCCGCCAGGGTCGTGGAGTGCACCTGCCTGCCGTCACTGTGGTGTCAGAGTGTCAGAGGTGTTGATTATTATTTCTACTTTTGCAAAAACTCACACTCAGTTGCAATCCATATCATGTTTATTCAGTACCTGTCTCATTCAGAGGTCAAACTATGTGGCATTGCAGGCCAAATAGTGTGAATTCCATATACTCCGGTTTCTCTTCAGATCGCATAAACCTTTCGCCTTTTAGCAAATAGTGTGAATTCCTGAGACACCAGGTTATTCAATCATTCCCCTGTGGGCCCCCCCTTTTATGCTTATATAAGTCAGAATTCATTCAACAGAGGTGATAGTTACAAATCTGAAAAAAAAAATATTTACGTTAACAGGAAATCTCTAGAGGATTCTTCAAAGTCAGATTGATTTTGAAAACGTGAGGTTTTGTGGTATAAAGAGAGCCTCACTTAGAAAATGTTGCATCTGGTAAGAATTTAAAATTCCCACTGAGCCTTTTGAATTTATCTGTACAAGGACTCCCCTCTTGAGGCTCAGAAGAGTAGTGAACATCACAGTTCATAACCATGCCCTGGGGGTCATGGAGCTGTGAACATCCCCGCACCGGAAATTCACATTTCCAGGACCCACTAACTAGTTTCTGGCTGCTGACTCATTAACAATTTGAAGAATTCCATTTCTGGAGCTCACTGATGAGTGTCCCACACAGAGGCTGATGGGCTCACTCAACTTGGTACCCTCTGTTTTATTCAGCCCCCAATTCCATTTTAGGATTATCTGACATGTAGACAGCAAATGGCTAAACAGCCACTTGACTTTAAATATAAAACAGTAGTTCTCAATGGGGGTGGTTTTGTCCTTCCAGGGGACATTTTGTAAAGTCTGGAGGCGTTTTTGACTGTCTTGGTTGGGGTGGGCACGCTGCTGCCATCTAGTGGGTGGAGGCCAGGGATGCTGCCAACCATCCTAAAATGCACAGGACAGCCGCCCACAGGAAAGATTTACCCAGCCCAAAATGCCAACAGGGCTGAGTCTGGGAAACCCTGATATAAATGGAGAAGGAATTAAAAGATTTGGACTGTGGGGGAAAACAGGGCAGGGGGAGAGGAGTTTATAGGGGAATGCTAATAGATCACCTTCCTTTTCTTACCCAATCAAAAAAAAAAAAAGAGAGAGAAAAGAAAATGGCCATGCTGTTTTTTAACCTACTATCTGCAGACACCAACATGTATAAACAATTCAATGGAAATTAACTGCAAACCAGATTGCTCACTGAAAGTCTAAATACTTCTCAGTTTTCCAAGTCTGGAATGTATCTGTTGTTGGGCCCTTATTCCAATATATAGTCAATTTCAGTTGAAAATTTGATGTTATTAGGAAAGAAGTCCAGAAGCAGTTATTTAAAAGAACAGTTTTGTGAATCTTCTTGTGTCCAGCATTCTTTTTCTTTCTGGAGAAATGTGGAGTCCAGTGGGCTATGAGGTAATAAGACTGACAAGGGATGAGGAAAAGATTGTAAAAAACATTTTCCTTTTAATGGTTCATTCTTTATCCACACTTTGAAAGACTCTTCAGACAGTTTATCACAAGCCAAAAGTGGTGGCTGATCCATTTTCTCTCAGTAAGCAATGCTGCAAAAATAGAGCATGTTTTAGAGCTTAGTCCTTTGAATTATTTTTTTCATAGTTTTACAAGGTTTTTTGGTAATCTTTTCTTCTGACAGAATGACAAGATACTGTTCATAGCCTTGTTCCATAGTGATCATTAATGAAAGAATACAAATTTCAGAAATGGTATTAGAACTTGATAAGATTAACCTGCTATCTAAAAACCTAGCAGAAACGGAAATAACCAAAGCCTGAGTCATCAGCAGAGGCAAAGTCACCACCTCTGGTCACCTCTTTCCCCTTATCAATGCTAACCTGACTGCATCTGCCACTGTGGTTCTCCATCGCAGAGCTCAACAGCCCCACCTCGGCACCCAGCTCAGAGAAGCAGAGTCCCCTGGCGCAGCAGAGTCCCCTGGCACAGCAGAGTCCCCTGGCCCAACCAAGCCCAGCCACCCCCAACAGCCCCGTCGCCCAGCCAGCACCACCTCAACCACTTCAGCTGCAAGGACATGAAAATAGGTAAAGTTTCCTCTGACTTTTGTGATTCTGAGAGGTGATGGGGTGGGGAGAGGAGGGAGCATTTGGGGACAGCACAGGACAAGCAGAGAGAGAGATTTTCATAAAGTGGAAATTGCCATGCGTACCTTTGTGTGATTTTGAGGTTGCGTGTGTGTTATACATATGGTTTTATTAGTAAAGATAGCTGAGTGTCTGTCCTTCACAAAGAGAGATGCTTTCCTGAAGAAATGGTGAGCAGTTGCAGATGAGTAGGGCTTAACAGCTGAAGACCATGTTAAAGGGAGTCCAAAGTGAAGAACTTACTCAGAGGCCCTCTGGCAGGAGCAAGCATGCAGTATGAACGACAGAAATACGGCCAATATATGGAGTGGCAGAAGAAGAGTATGATGTGAGATGAAGCCAGTGAGGGTGGCTGGGGCCAACCCTAAAGGGCCTTGTAAGCATGCTTACTCAATGTTTTGATCTTTAAGTACAGCAGGAAGTCATTGAAGGGTCTTCAGCTGAGGAGTGTTATCATTAGATTTGCTTTATAAGAAGGCCTCCTGGTTTGCCCTGCAGAGAGCACACAGGAGGCTGGCAGGGTGAATGCAGGTTAAGCAGTGAGGAGGTGGCTGCTTCCATTGAACCACAAAGGTCATGGCTCAGAGAATGATGATGATGTCGAAGTGGGGAGAATGTTGAAGGATTTGTAGGCATTAGTAAATATTACCAGCCAGTGTGGTGGCTCACGCCTATAATCTCAGCACTTTGGGAAGCTGAGATATGAGGATTGCTTGAGCCCAGAAGTTCAAGACCAGCATGAGCAACGTGGTAAAACCCCATCTCTACAAAAAATACAAAAGTTAGCCGGTCATGGTGGTACATGCCTATAGTCCCAGCTACTTGGGAGGCTGAGGCAGGAGAATCACTTAAACCCAGGTGGTGGAGGTTGCAGTGAGCTGAGAACATTCCTGTGACACTCCAGCATGGATGACAGAGTGAGACTCTGTCTCAAAAATAAAATAAATTAGCATGTTTACTGATTATAATAACCTTACATCCTCCTACTCACAATCTAATGAGGTTCTTCTATTCCACACATAGCATTAGAGATAGGCATCACAAACTAATGAATAAGACACTTTGAACTTCCAGAAAAACATTGTCAGAAGAACAACATTGTCTTCTTATTGTGACCTGTATGTAACAGGGAGCCTGGGTTGGGTTGAGCCATGAAAGAAAAAGATGAAGCGGTGTTCCCATGATGCTTTCTCCCTTTCCGTGGGAAACAACAACAACGACGAAACAAAACAACTCACAGAAACACCTCTGCATGCGAACTCCTCACTGGCCTTTTTAATGATTCTAATGTTTTCCGAACATCTGCTTCCCATCCCTCTCCTCCCATGATGGTGAAGATGAAGTGAGACTCTGTTTTTGATTCCCAGAACTCTCTGGGTTCATCATTCACATTGTTGCAAAGCAAACTGTGTTCCCTGTGCCACAGGTGGCATTTCTACAAAGCCTTATTCTACTGATTTCCCATTTGCTTTCATAGAAAAGTAAATGTCTGGTTGTCCTCAGCTGCTTATGTTTTTAATATATGCAAGGAAGAGAAAAGCCCCATAAAACAACTAATGCAGAGGTGAGAATTTGACAAGCCATAAGAAGGGTAAGTCCTGAGTGTTTCAGTAATGAGCCCCAGAAGTGTTTGCTCTCAACGTCTATCACTTCAACAGATTGCACTGGCTTTCCCCAGAATTCATCTTAGACTCAAGAGGAAGGACTTGAGCGCCCCAGTAGTCCCTGAGCCAGCTTCAGACATTTCTTGCCGCTGTCGATTAATCTCGCAGCCACATTCCATTCTCCTTTCCAGAGTCAGATTTCCCTGGACGTAGTTCTTGCTCCCAGCCTTGAGTGGGTGAGCTCATCCCTGGTGTGCTGAGGGGAGAGCAACAGCTGGATGCAGCCACTGCCATGTCCCATCTGCTACCAGCTCACAACTGGGATACCTTGTTCCCTATCACAGAAGCAGCGGTCTTTGGACATCCTGACTGCAGAATGAAATATTCCTAGCTCTGGGATTCAGATTGACCTAATCCAAATGTTTATAAGTCACCAACATATTTGCCCAGAGTTCTGAGGTATTTTGCTGCTTCTACTACTACATTGCTTCTAAGATATTTTGCTTCTATTACTATATTAACAGCCTAGGAAGTGCCCACTCCAACTCTAGGGCCCTTTACTGGCACTCAGGTTTCCTGGCTGAACTCTGTGATTGTTGGTGGTGGCTCATTTGCATGTGAATGAAGAGATTCAGTAATCTTACAGGTGCCAGAAACATTTTTCCTAATTGCATTTAAAGATGGCCATGGTATCAGATGGAAAACTCTTTGCCATTATTTTATATCAGGCTGGAGATATCTCTAAGACAGTTTATATGCCAAGTGCATGGCATGAATTTCCTATTTCTTCATTTGTACAAGGAGTGCCCACCTACATGTCAAATTCAGCCCACTCCCATGTTAGAGCAGGATAAAATAAAATGGCAATCTGCTTGCGAATGTCTACGTTGTGAGTTAGAATGAGTGATATTTTTTCCTGTGGAACTTACTCTTGGATTGGCTTCCCAGGACACCCCATACACTTCTCCCCATTTCTCAGTCCTTTAACGTCTTTTGGGTGTGTACTCAGGAAGTATAAAATATGTTCAATAAGAAGATAAGCAAAAACACTATTCAAGGAGAAGCATTTGTTGAAAACAACAGAAGAGCCGTTATGGAATATGTTTCAAAACTAAGTATAAATAGCAGAGTTCACCTTCTCTAGCAAGGGCAATTGATATTTGCAGTTTAAGATGGCAAGGTCAGTGAAAGACTTTGAACTCTAGATGCTCAGGACAGGAAGTGATTCTTTTTTTTTTTTTTTTTTTTGAGACAGAGCTTTGCTCTTGTTGCCCAGGCTAGAGTGCAGTGGCGCGATCTCGGCTCACCGCAACCTCTGCCTCCCGGGTTCAAGTGATTCTCCTGCCTCAGCCTCCCTAGTAGCTGGGATTACAGGCATGTGCCACCACGCCTGACTAATTTTGTATTTTTAGTAGAGACATGGTTTCTCCATGTTGGTCAAGCTGGTCTCGAACTCCCGACCTCAGGTGATCCACCGGCCTCAGCCTCCCAAAGTGCTGGGGATTACAGGCATGAGCCACCGTGCCCAGCTAGAAGTGATTCTTGAAGGGCCCATGAGATGTGCATTCTCACCATGGGCAGCGTTTATTTGTTCTGGAAATTTTTTATACCACAAAAACCTGCTAGAACTTACCATTAGCAGTCTGATTTTATCATTTCTAAAGTATCTTCAGCAATGGAATTAATAGCTATGAAGGGTTATATAGATGATCTTTTTTCAGAAGTAAAAGAACTGTAAAGCACCAGTTTTTAAAAATAATCCTGAGTTTTCCTTAAAGTGTTTCACACATTCAAAGCAACATAATTTTTTGCCCTAGCTGGTATATTATTCACTTAAAAGTTAGCAACACTCATAAAAAATTTAGTATGTTTTCCTTATTAAAGAATTCTTCAACGTGTAGTTCAACTTAAAATCCTGACACATGACACGGGGTAGAATATAGTTTGAGTACTTGATGGCCTGGATGAGAGTGTTGAAAGTTTCATCTGCTCCTATTTTTAGTCATTTGTGTTACTTTGGGGGAGATTCTTACATTTCACCTTCTTTGGCCATACCTCGTGACACATTTGGTTGGAAATAGAGCACACAGTGGATATTGCATATCAATACCATACAGATCGTGGAAATAAAGTGACTATGCTATAACTTAAAACAGTGTGACATCCAAACCACCAAACAAGCTATTTCCAGAAAGGAACCAACACACACTGACAAATGTCACCCAGTTCAATTCCTTTTGTTTAATGCATGCATTTGCATAGTTAAGCATCTTATTCAAAATATATTTTAAATAATCCTATTCTCAGCATGCATGCTCTCAGTAGGCGAGTGGACAATTGAGGTATAAAGCAAAACCAAAATTATGCAGCTCACAAAAGGAATGCCTCTCCTCTGCAGGGTTAAGTAATAAATGGGACCTACTCAAAGGGTTGATTAAAATAACTACATTGCTAACTCCCTTCTAAGAGCCCCAAATAAACACATCTATTGCCATGCACTTTCAGTGTGACCTTGCCAAATATTAGATTACACTAATGGCAATTGTTCAGGCAAGTGATTTTTAAAAACACTTAATACTAATCAGCATTGGTAAGACCATCAGCCAGTTTAAAAAAAAAAATCTAGACTTAAATGTAAGAATTCTACTGGTTTGCACTAGTTTTCCCGACACATTTGAGCTTTTTCTTGCTGCTAAATATTTACTCAATTCCTCATACCCTCCAATTAATTTTAAATAAAATTGTTACTATGTAGAATGTATTTTTCAATCTACCTACATCCCTGGGTAGCTCATTATAGACTGTTGCCATGGCAATAGGTAATGAACAACAGAATTAAGTGGCCTCCATACCATGGTGATAATTTTTCAGTTCACCTTATTAATGATCCCATAATGGTAGGGATTGGCTATTTCTTTTTTTTTTTTTTTTTTTTATTATACTTTAAGTTCTAGGGTACATGTGCATAACGTGCAGGTTTGTTACATATGTATACTTGTGCCATGTTGCTGTGCTGCACCCATCAACTTGTCAGCACCCATCAACTCGTCATTTGATGGCTATTTCTTTTGAAACTAGTAACCGCCTCAGCTTAAAGCAGTTTGGATTCACAAAGCAATGCTCCTAGCTCTGGTCTCTGTGTTTATTTCATTAGTAACTAATATCTAGAAGCAAGCAAGAGATAAATGTTGGACATGAACATTTTTGCCTTCTCTTCCATCTTATGATTACAGTAGTATTTGATGCTAATCTTGATAGCTATGATCTAGTATTTAAGCCTCTATGTAATATGTTTCCAACTTTACCAATGATTCAGTGACTTGCCACTTGATTTGTAGTTGGTGATTATATTTTACCATCACTCCTTTAACCTCTGTAAAATATTCAAAAAGACCCAACTCAGCAGGTTAAAATAGCCTTTGATTGTGTATTTGTAATATAATTAGAGATCACTTCAATCATGTTTTTATGAAGTAATGAATGATCTGCCAAGGGGTGCGTGTGAGAGAAAAAAGTAAGAGTGAGAGAGGAAGGTTGGTTTACTGGTGTTAAGATAGGCTGATGTTTTGGGATGTGTAGTTCAGTGCTTCAATCCCTAGATTTGCTGTGGCTGTACAGTTTTTATATAGCCAAAGTCAAAGAGGAACATCCATGAGTCCTTTTCCACAAGGTTCTGGTTGAACCATCATTTTTACCTTGACTTCTTAAGGAGCCAAATAAAAAGTATACAATATGGCACTTGTCAGAGATTTTTAAATAATATTTAATCTTCTCATAATCCTGAAAACCAACAGGACCACCGAGAGGAGTGGTTTGTGTGAGCTGCCTTGGCTAGACCACCTCTGGAGGCCATGTGATCATTCGAATCTCCTTAGAATGCAGAGTTACCAAAGCAAATCCCATTTCCATTGATTTAGTTACAGATCGGAAGTGAAAGCAAGGCAAGATGTGAAACCAGACATCCGACAGCCTCCATTCACAGACTACAGGCAGCCCCCGCTGGACTACAGGCAACCCCCAGGAGGGGACTACCAGCAGCCCCCTCCTTTGGACTACAGGCAGCCTCCACTGCTGGACTACAGGCAGCATTCCCCCGACACCAGGCAGTACCCTCTGTCGGACTACAGGCAACCCCAGGTACCTCCTCCCGGAGAGCAGAGTGGGCCCTGACCAAGGCTTCCAGAGAACTGCAAGGAATGAAATAGGAGAGGCAGAGGAAAGAGTACCTGGGATAGACAGCTGAAGTTCTATTCCTAGTTCTGGTAACATCGGGGTAACACCTACATCCTCAAAAACATACTGGATAAATAAATCTATTTCAGAATAAAGCAGGTCAATAAATAAATAAATATGGATAAATACATAAATAGTGGATGAGTAGTAATGGAATAAACTAATCCCTGCTAATACTAACTAACTCCCTGTACATTTCCTTTTCACAGTTTTAAAAATGCTTTAACCTGGAACCTCTGAGAGTGCTGCTAATGCAGAAAATTTTAGAGATGCTAGCAGTGGAGGTATTTTAGGTCCATAGTGTTTTACATGGCCCCCTACCTGCCACTCTGTGATAAAGGGCCAAGCCCCGGTGGAGAAGAATAAGACCAGGCCTGGCTTCACAATCCAGAGTGTAGCGCCTGCCACAGCCAACAATTCTCTGTCTACACAACCAGTGTCACGGTTATTATGATTATTTGTTGATGCGCTTCGTGTCAACTTCCTTAACTTCTCTGAGATTCAGTTTCCTAAAGGGAGAATCTTCCTTACAGGCCAGGGTGAGGATTCAACATTTATGAAGAGTCTAGACCAGAGTTTGGTATCTAGAAAATACTTCCTACTTCATAACTACATATCAAGATATAAATTAAGTATAATCTCAAATGTATCAGATTACATTGTGTTTTATTATGAATTGAAAATCACCTTTACGCCCAAAGATTGTAAGAATAGTGAAGATCAGAGAATCTTGGATATACTGCATTTTAGGTAAAAGAGAAGTTGATTTTGTACAATCCAACTTGATATTCAATAGTCTGTGCGACTGAGACATGTAATTATCAGATCCCACTAAATTTCACTTTTCTAATCAGCAAACTCTGTAATTTACATACATACACACACATACACACACACACCCCTGACATTTATTTATGGTGCTCAACAGCAGTGAATGAGAAAAGTCAAAGGAAAGATGGTGTCACTCAGGCCTGTCTGTAATCATTCCACGTTTGCCAAATAAACTGATGAACACCAGAATAAACAAGCTACACAGTATTTCTTTGATGACCACGTAAACTGTGCTGTGGCCTGCTCAAACCTTTGGAATTTTGTCTTTCATTTGGATAGTTTATGAAGTCAGATGACAACTTCTCCCAACATCATGTCATTTAGAATACATTAACTAAGAGAGAGAAGGAGAATACAGAGACTAGCCACAGAAGCTTCTCTGATAACTAAACAATTATTTATTCCATTTTCTCCCCAAACCCAAAGGATTTTGATTATTTCACTGTGGACATGGAGAAAGGAGCCAAAGGATTTGGATTCAGCATTCGTGGAGGAAGGGAATACAAAATGGATTTGTATGTGTTGAGATTGGCAGAAGACGGACCAGCAATAAGGAATGGGAGGATGAGGGTAAGAACAGTCTCTTTTTATGGAATTACTTAATTCTGAAAGAAAAACCCACTGTGGTATTGGAAGAGTGCTAAAGCATGCTGTCAAGCACGGTTGCTGTAGGTTTGCCTTCTTTCTAATTCATGATAACCCAGTTTCTTAAAGGTTTGGCCAAATGCTATTTTATAATAGCTCTCATTCTCATTTTTCTGCCTATGACCTTCTAATTGATTAACCTCAATAAAGTACTATTTTTCTAAAGAGCAAATGAAAGAAATCTAAGAAATAGCTTGAAAAGGAAACATTATTGCTCCATAATTCTTTCTACGGTTTGATGATTCTGTTTTCATTAAGGTTGAATCTTTTGAAATTTATTTTTAGTTTTGTACTTTTTCCCCCATATTGATTAATCACATGGTTTTGCGGGAGTTTTGGGAAATTTTTCCTTTGTGTTGACTGGTCTTTTGGTTTGATACTGGGCAGACAGAAGCATTAGAAGAAAAAGGGATTTGGCTTCTTGGACACAGGTTGTTCTTAAAAATGACAACAGGGGCCGGGCGCGGTGGCTCACACCTATAATCCCAGTACTTTGGGAGGCCTAGGCGGGTGGATCATGAGGTCAAGAGATTGAGAACAGCCTGGCTAACATGGTGAAACCCCATCTCCCACATCTACTAAAAATACAAAAATATTAGCTGGGCATGGTGGCACACGCCTGTAGTCCTAGCTACTCAGAAGGCTGAGGCAGGAGAATCACTCGAACCTGGGAGGCGGAGGTTGCAGTGAGCCAAGATAGCACCACTGCACTCCAGCCTGGGCAACAGAGCAAGACTTTGTCTCAAGGAAAAAAAAAAAAAGACAGCAGCTAGAAATTTTCCAATTAGAGTATAAAGTTGAGAGTAGATTTTTTCATTTAATAATTACTTTGAGGCATCTGATTGATGGGTAACTGATTCTTCGTTTAAGGGTACAAAACAAAGCTTGTTAACAATATAAAATATTAGTCTTTTTACTCTCTCTCTCTCTCTGTGTGTGTGTGTGTGTGTGTATGAATAAAAGCTAGAATTTATTCTTGCCCTCCCTCCTGCCTCTTTAAGTTAATAAAGAAAAGCTGTGGCTTTGGGGTTCCGGAACCTTGGATTCTTGTGCAGAGCCTCACCAACCAATTTTCCCTGATGACCGAATCTGTTATTTCTACCACCAAGTCTACATTTCTATGATACGCATTTCCAAGTCAGGGGATTATCCACAGTCCAAAAGCAGAAAGCATGCACATCATGTCTTTATTTCTCCCTCCCACCACAATCCTTTGACAGCTGGGAAGCCTCCGAGTTGGAATTTAAACCCAGGCAGGGCTGACACCAGAGACTGGCAGTCCTCGCCCTGATCTAGCACCACCCCCTCTTACCCCATCTAGCCCTGGTTTGAAGATGGACCTCCACATGGTTTCCTGGCTCTACAACTTCCCTATAAGCCAGAAGGACACTTTCTTAACCTGCCGTAAGGCCAGCTCACAAGTAGTTCAGTAAAACAAAATTAATCTTTGCAGTGCAAGTGAAACACAGCAGGAAGACCATGAGCAAAATGGCCAGAGCCCTGTGAGAGTTAGAGACCCATGGTGGACTACAGGGCTGGTCTCTGTAGGTTGCAAACAGTGGCCATGTATTTTAACAAGGGGTCTAAATGACTCACTGCTGTATATATACAGTACTCCCAAGGCAAAGAAGCCTAAATAGAGAAATACCCTTGCAGGAAAAGATTCCTCTTTCTTACAGAATTTAAGCCAGAGCAATAGTTATCAGCATGGTTCCTGGCATCAGCATCACCTGGAAACTTGGTAGAAATGCAGATTCTCTAGCCCCACCCAAACCTGTTGAATCAGAAACTCTAGGAGTGGGGTCACCAGGCTATGTTTTAGGAAGCTCTTCATGTGAATCTCTGAGGTTTTACCTTCTGAGGTTTTATTATAGAAACCTGTGTCAACTGCAATCCAAAAACATTACATAAAACTTTTCAGAAATAAGCAATTTATAAATTTTAAATTGTGCAGCATTGTGAGTAGCATGCTGAAATTTTGTCCTTCCCACAAGGTGAAGCAGCCCTTTATCCACACTGTAGATGCTACCTGCCCATTGGTCACTCAGCAGCCCTCTCGATCATCAGATTGACTATCATTGTATCACACTGCCTGTGTTCAAGTAACACTTATTTTACTTAGTAATGGCCCCAAAATGCAAGAGTAGTGATGCTGGCATTTTGTTATAATTGTTCTATTTTTTTATTGTTGTTGATCCTTTGCTGTGCCTAATTTGTAAATTAAGCTTTATCATAGATATATATAGATATATATAGATATATATAGATATATGGAAAACAGTGTATATAGGGTTAGTTCTGCCCGTGATTTCAGGCATCCACAGGGGATATTGGAATATATGCAAGAGGTATGAGGGGAAACTACTGTATTCGCTTTATCAAAAAACCAGTGGAGAGTAGCAAGTTTTGACTTTAATTATTTTACTCGATGGTTTTTCAACATCAGTTAATACTGATGTATTAAAAGTTGAATAGACAAAACAAAACACAATCTGTGAATGCAGAAAATAAGGGGAATAATAAATAGAGATACATCATTGTCACATCTGATTGCTTTTCTTCAGTCACTCAAGAAGGCTGGCGTCATAAGAGAAACACAATGGACATTCAGATTTTAAGGAAAAGGATAATAAATTATTAGAAAATACTACTGGATCTGTTTATAAAAAGAAGACTTACATTTGTAAAATAGTCTAACAAAATTGGGAGAGATGAAATTTGCATAGCTAGTGAATAAATCTCTGATACAAAGCTCCTAGGAATATAACCTAATTAAAAACAAAAACTAAATAGAAAACACAGGCAAAAAATAATGAACATAAAAAATAATATTGGAGAAGCTCAGTAAAATAGGGAATGTAAGAAATCAGGAGACATTTGGAGAGAAAGAATAGAAATTCTAAGTGCTTAAATAAAAATCTGAGAGTCAAGTTAAAAGAGAATCTGAAAGGAGATCAAGTTTGCTCTTTAAATGGTAAAATATTTTCCTGTTTCCATAAAAGTGTAATATAGTTCGCATTTCCATAAAATGTATTTTTATGATGAAAAAGAACATTATTTCATAACTTCATCACCTGCAGCTGGGTACCATTTGTATTGCCTACTTAGCATCACATAAGCTTATTTATAAAATGGTTTACCTACTTTCTGAAACTCACATGAAGCAAAAGTCTGCCTGCAGTGGGCTTTGGAACGACCTGAAACATTTTGTTCAACTAATCAATGCACAAAAATGATACCACTTGCCCATCTTTTTTTTAAATGGAAAGCAACATTCCCTGAAATTAGCTTCTTTGAAATTTGTCATCTTTCCTTCTATAGACCAGATATAACTAGCCAATACAAAAGCATCCTGGTTTATATATTGTTTTTATTAAACATAAAACCATTTACAAGAATATTTCTAACATATGTAATAAGTATAAATACTAACAATGATTCAAGGACCTATGAACCCATAGCCCCGCTTAAAAAACAGAACATTACCAAGCTCCCATGATTTCATTCTCCTCCTATTCTCCAGCCCTCAGAGGGAACCACCTTCCTAAATAAAGCACTTGACATTTCTTCTATTGTTACCACAAATCTGTGTATCTCTCAACTATATCATTTAGCTTTGCACACTTTGTGAACTTTATGTAACTGGACCGTACTGTACATGTTCTTCTCTGTGGCTTGCTTTCTATATGTTATGTTCATGAGATTCATCCAAGGTTGGTGCAGGAAGCTATAGTTCATTTATTTTTCACTGCTACAAATTATTTCATTATGTGAATATGCTACAACCTATAATAATTATCTGTTTTTCCATTTTACGGACATTTGAGATTTTCCCTGTCAGTTTACACTTTGGTTGTTTCCAAGTTTGTTGTAACGCATACAATCTTTGTACATCTTTCCCGCTGTACCTATGCAAGACTTTCTCTAGACTAGACTATATGCCTCAGAGGGCACAAATTTAACTTACCTAAGTAACACAAAAGTATTGTCTAAGGTGGTTGTAGAAAGTTATACTTGTATTAGCATGTAAAAAAGTTTTTCTTACTACACACACCCACAGATTTGTACTTCAGACTTTTAAACTCTCATTCTGGTAGGTAGAAAATGATATATTTTAGATTTGGATTTGCATTTCTTGATTACAAATGATATTCATCATTTTTTTTAATTTTTATTAGACTTTCATGTCTCTCTTAAATAAAAAATGCCTGTACATGTCTTTCCCCATTTTCTGTTGAATATGTCTTCGTGTTGATTACAGAAGTGCTTATATGTTATTGGTGATCATTTTTCATCAATTAATGTGATACAGATATCTTATGCCAGCTTGTGGCTTGTAGTTTCACTTTTTTTATGATGCTCTTTGATAGTAAGAAAGTCTTCATTTTAGTGTAATTGGCTTAACCCTTTTTCTTTTTTATAGTTTCTGCTTTCTGTGTCTTGTTTGAGAAATCATTCTCCAAGACAAGGTCTTAAACATCTTCTCTTATATCTTCTTCTAAAAGTTGTATAGTTTTACTTTCTATATCTAAGTCTTTAATCACCTACAGCTGATTTCTCTGTATAATATAAGGTAAAACCTCAATCTCAATTTTTCCATAGGGATAACCACATGTCACAGCATCATTTAATGAGTATTTCTTTGTCCCACCCCCCGCCCCCCGCCATCTGCAATGACAGCTCTGTAATAAATTAAATTTCTGTAAATGCAATGGTCTGTATATGGATTCTTTATAGTGTTCTACTAGTCTATTTGTCTATCCCTGTGTCAAGGCCATACTTAATCTACCTTTTAACGAGCATTGATTTTTTTATGGGGAAACTTCCTCTCCCTCAGACACACATCTTAATTCTTCCGGGGTGTTTGCATGTTCTTGGGCTTTTGCCCTTCTATATAATTTTAGAATTCGCTTGTCAAGTTTCTA